TACTAAGCTGCTGCAATGGAGCAGCTCTAATGCTATTAATAAAGATGATGTACCATAGAGCAAAAAAAATTAACAGTGAAAGTAACAAAAACTTGTAAAATACATTTTAATGGGCATAATTAAGTGTGAAAATAACCGAAGGATATACAGTCAAACCAAAAATGATTCAGAGACCAGATATCATTTTTGATATGTTTTACTAGTGGGTGCTGGACACTATAGTTCATTTATGGAAGTGACGTGAGGATAGCAAAATAAAGTAAACTGTGACAAATTATACCCAAAAATTCTTCATACAGTGGACTACCAGTAAAACTGATACAAATTTGGGACCAAAAATTATTCAGACAATTCAGAAAAAAATTTGAAGTTCAGGTTTGCATGAAGCTGGGTGACAGCATGCCCAGGAGACTACAGGCTGTCATTAAGGCCAAGGGTTGCCCATCAAAGTATTGATAGTTGTGTAAATACTGTCATACTAACAGCTGTCTGAATTATTCTGGTTGATTGTAATCCATTACACACCTTTCTATCAAAGTTATCTAGCGTTATTAATCTGAATTTGTTCTGACACAGTTTAACTCTGAGTTCTTGTCATATTTTATTACCATTTTCTAAACTATAGCGAATAACCTGTGATAATGTGAGAAATGTTGAAGGTGTCTGAATAAATGAAGTTAATCAGCTAACATTATACATACTCTTTTGGTTTCTGTAGCCAATATTTTAAAAATATACAAATGCAATGAAAATATTGGTATCGGTACTCGGTATCGGCAAGTACCAAAAATAAAAGTATCGGTATCGGGCGAGTACTGGAAAAAGTGGTATTGGTGCATCCCTAATTTCTATAATAACAAACAAACAATAGCATTTCTCTGACTTTACAAAAAAGCAAAAAATGTAGAGACTGATTACGTCAGAAAAGAAAAATGTGTCAAATTTGCCATCACTCCCTCAGATATTGTACTGTTGTATATTAGAAACACTAGTTTTCTGTAAATTGAATGGCAAAGTAATATAACAAACAGTATAGTGTTATAAATGTACATTAATTAAAAATATATAAAGTATAATCATTGTGATTTTTTGAAAATTACAAAAATAAACAAACAAAAAAACTCAAAAGTAAAACATTCTTTTGGATTTGCGGTTATGGAAATTTGATGGGGGATTGTCATAATAATGCAAAATTCCACCTGGCTAATAAACAATGCAAAATTCTTAACAGTTCTTTATATTCTTTACACAAAATACAAGTTCTTCTTAATCGGTTTCATGAGATCTACAAAATCTAATTTCTCGAATCCCTTTTTTTTTTTTCAAAGCCTTTTCCCTTTTTTCCTGATTCTCTCATTAGCCGAGGGACACTGCATATACATCATACATATCACAGACCAGAAATTAATTCAAGTTCATGAGCAAATGAAAAGTTTCTGGGTCAAGACATAAGTGCCATCTACCAGGGGGCTTTGAAAAGAGGGATGATTCTTTTATATGAAGGTTTACTTTTAATAATTCATCCCATTTGCGGCAGAAATAGCCAGTGCGAGTACTGATTATGACAGGCCCTTTTGTCCTCTGTGGATTCAGAAAGCCCGGAGTCTCAGCCGGACTTGAGTAAGACAGTCTGGCCTGAAGTGGGGGAAGGGTTGACTGACTGGCTGCTCGCTCCAGACCACAGTGAACCAATTACCAGCAATAACGCCAGTGGACATACACATATCTTTGAGATCTACAACAATACTTCACCCTGTTACGACAACACGACACAGCTACAAGCAGCTACACAAAATAATATCACATTAACTGCATGTAATTCACATGTTTAGCATAAATGCTAATGAAAAATGTGATTAAATTGTACATTAATGATGAGAATAAGCACATCTGGACAACTCGAGTTGTGTTTGTCTGGGAACCCAGCAGAAGGAATAGAGTTAAAGAATGTGTGCACTATGGCAAGCTGGTTTAACATTTGTACTTATTTTTAAATCATTACCAAGTGACTACTTTTACTAGCAATTATTCATTATATACCAATACTTATTCCAACCATGCTTAGAATCTATTAAAATAGTTACTAGTATCTATTCCAGTTATCCTGGTGTGAACTAAGTATACATTAGTGCCTATTTATTACACGCTAGTGTGTAATTGTTACAATGAACTCAACTTTTAATTTAATAAGAAATAATACAATTTCAACTGAACAGTAAAGTAGCCATTCTGACCAATTAGAATACAAATGACAAGTAAAAAACCTATAGTCAGAGATACCGCCTGTGGCTGATGCCTTTGACAATATCAAGACGATTATTATTATTAGGCTAGTATTATTATCTAATTAATATTAGTGCTTATTTGTTCCATCATATTTCTTTTTACACGTTTTACAGTGTTAAAACCAATCACATACGATTCTGTTGAGCTTATGAATACAATGGCCAATCAGAGGAATTCAGATGAGTCAGCGCTGAAACGCCGGAGTTTTGTTGTTGAGTGCGTGCTAGCTGACTGAATTCTGCTCTCTCGTGAATTCTCTCACAATAAACAACAAAGTGTAGATGTACATGCGATGTAAGTATAAGAGATTTATTCATCATACAATGTAGATATCTTCACTGATTATAACGGAAGTGTGTGTTTTTTTAGGTGTAGAAACTCGCGCTAGACTGAAGTCAGTGACGATGTTCTTTGATAATGTAAATATTCTTTGCTCATTTTCTCCAGCTGCTGTTTGAATAACTGAGGAAATGTAAGCATTATAATTAGTAACTTACAATGTTTTTATTAAATTGTGATCGTGTTAAATACATATTCAGCCATATTAAAAATATTTTAAAGTGGTGGTTCACTGTATTTTTTCTAGGCTTGATTGTGTTTATGGGGTGCAGTCTAACATGTGTTAATGCTTTTTTTAATTCATTATTTTCCACATAATTTACCTTTATTCCACACCGCTCTGTCCCTTCTCTGAGAAACGGGCTGATCATTTCCTTCTTTTATGAAGCCCCTCCCTCAGAAATAGGCGATGGGCTCTGATTGGTTAGCTAGCCCAGTGTGTTGTGATTGGCTCAACCATCTCTAGTGCGCGTCTAACCGTCCCACCCCTCACCTTGGCGGCATGTGCTCCGGTTGTATTGTAAACAACGGCATCATTAATATCGCTTATCAGACTGAGCTGAATGAGAGAGAGAGCGAGAGAGAGAGATGCAGAGCGTGTGCAGAGCAGGGCGACGCAAGGAACAGTATTAAGCATTAGATAAGCTGCTTTAGAACATTCATTTTGAAACTTGTGAATCCATTAGAATCGCTAGAAGACAGAATCATGATTCATATATGAATAGATTTTTATGTGCACCTCTAGTTTTTTCTTCCTCTTCTCTAAAGCAGCGCAGCATGGCCTCACCCCCTTTGCTGCCTTTTCCAGAGGGCGGGGTTTATCTGGGTTTGTGATGTCACGAACCCGGGAAGTAACTCGTTGTAGTCCCTACCAGCCGTTTTTGTAGGCATTAAACTGCCAGAATTTTAAAAGACCGTTTGCATTGAACTTTCAGCTTCGCAACTTTGCAGATATTGTTTATGCTCAAACAGCAACATTACACACTAACTAACGTTAAAAAAGTGAGATCGCAAAGAACCACCCCTTTAATGACATGACATCTATATGCTACTTTACTAAAAAGATAAAAATGTGTATCTGCTGTTAGCCTTAACCTGGTTCACTGGTGGAGTTGGTTCATTCTTTGGCTATGAAACTACGTAGGCCCTAAGTAAATAATTAAATAAATTAGCATGATGATATCGTGTATCGGCAATATCACAGGCTAACAATAGGACGATATGACTATGGAGCATATCGCCCAACACTAATAAGAAATGCAACTAGTAACAGTTTCGTAAAATACTAGTGTCTTATAAATCGGTGCTAGTACCCAATAAAAACTGGTCCCTAACTGAAAAGATACTAATCACTATTTCATTACCTACTAGTAATTAAGAAAGAAAGAATAAACAAAAAAGCATACGTAACATAAAACAGACACGTTAGTTTTAAGGAATAAATGTTAAATTGGCTTGCCATGTTGTGCGCAGCCCCCACTGCAACACCAGCAATATTCAACTGATGCATTGAGTTGTGTTCCAGTGCCAAACACTCACAGACACCCGAGTCATCAGCAACACTCATTTGTATTAATATATTTAATCGGTCAAACGTTTTAAAATACATCAGAGGCTTATTAAAAAGTAATTTCTGATAAACGCGTCGCATTTTGGAGGCGCTGAATTTATAGTTTAATACGCCACAACCAAATTCGATGGGTGTGCAAGTGAGTTAGTGACAAATAACGGTCAAATACTGCAATAATTCGACCTGAGAATGACATTTACATTCAGCTGAATCTTGACATATTCGCACAGCATGGTGCCATAATAACGGATTCGGATGTGCTACGGTTACATTTGATCCATTTTCGAATGCGGACCGAATTAAATGATTGAATCTGAAACTGTTATGCTGTCACCAGAGTGAGTCGAGTAGGGTAAACATCACAAGTTAAAAACATTCTATTTTCATTCGCTGCGCGTTCGAAATTGGACCAAATGTAACAGTTCTGGGATTCGCGTTACATTCCCTCCGCGTTCGAAAACGGCTGAAAAAAACCCGCCCTACTTACATATATCCATTCCCTGTGGCTGGGATAGGGTGCAATTGCAGGAGCATGTGTCATTGGAGTTGGCGTTGTTGTTATTGTTGTTGCTGGAGCTGCTGTCCGGGACCGTGATGTTTCGCATGGGGGCTCGGGGAAGTGACGGGACGGGGGGGAAGACAGCCGCCGGCCGCGGCCCTCACAGGAACTGAGGAACACTTCCACAGCAGCGGCAGCAGCCTGCGGTCTCGGTGCACACACGTCTCATGCCATTCTCGCGACTCTCCGACGCATTTTCTGCTGCTAGACTACGGTAAATACGTTCCCAGCATCTTGAAGGTCTTTTCCTCTCGTTTTCATTCAGAAGAATGGCGTTCTGTGACGGTCTCAGGCTCACAGCCCACCTCCTCCTGCGCCTCCCTCCTCCTCCGAGAGGGGAGCAGCTCCAGACAGACAGACAGGAGCGGTGGGAGGGGAGACTGGCGCTGACAATGGCGGTGGAGAGAGAGAGAAAGAGAGAGAGTTTGCTCTACCCTCAATGGGACTGTGTGTGTGTGTGTGTGTGTTAGAGGCGGTTAGAATTACACACACGCACTCATTAGTGCCAGCCACGACCAATCAAGGCAGGCATTGAAGAGGCTTTAACCTTGGGCTGACCCCACAGTCTAACAGATATTCAGCAGATGTGTCAGACACCCCCCTTCTTTCCCAAACTGTCTGCGGTCTATAAATATATCCGGGGCGGTTTGGTGTGGGGAATGTCCGGCTGAGTGGGCAAAGTTAAGTAAACTGAGTTTGTGAAACGCAGTGCACCCCCAAAAGTATTTGGACACTTAAGCCAAACTTAATTTGTGAATTTAATGGCATTGCATCACAAAATATCAAACCAAGTGTCATCTGAAAATATGATTCTAGAACTTTTATCACAACTTAGCAATTCACTGATGTCACGGTGCTTTTTAGATGCATCAGTTCTCCTCCAATTGTAATGTTTGACAACCAGAATCTGACTGAAAACTTCTGAACATTATATTATTGTTTTATAATTTCAGACTTCTTTTTCTTTTTTTGTGTACAATATTTTGCTCAAAAAGTTTCAAATGAATGCCATATACTTTGATATTTTAGATTCATTATATATTTGCACATATTTCATTCCAAAATCAAAAGAATTTTCCTTATAAAAATGAAGTCAATTTAAATAAATAACATTTTAAATACATTTTTGTGACATTATATTCATGATAGTTTAAGCACTTGACTCACTTGGGTACTTGACTGAAATTATTATTACTGTAATGTTAAAATTATTACTATTAACATTATTTTATTTACATTTTTTTAAATTAAACTTTATCAGTGTTATTTTAGTATTATTTATATACTGTTATCATATTTTTAATTAGCTTGTATTTCATTAATTTTAGCTTTCATTTTAATTTTAGTTTTTTTATTTAAATTTTAAGTTAAACGTATTTTATTTCATTTTGGTTAAAGCTTTACATTTTTCTAATATTTTATTTTATTTTATTTTATTCAGCTTTATTTCAAATAATGAAAATGATTTCTAATAGTTTTAGTTAACAATAACAATGCAGTTTTTTATACATCATCATAGTATTTCTGTCACTACCTCTAAACTGATTTGATTTTAAATATATTACAGTTAAGAATGACTATTACAGTAAATAATAACCACTGCTGAGAATAATAATGGGGAATACAAAAATTCTAAAGATATGTATTTTAGGTGTGTAAGATTTGAAGTGGAAACTTGCTTTTCTTTCTTTCTTTCTTTTTAATTTTTTATTTTATTTATTTATTTTACTTTGATGTGAAATGTGACCCAGACATGTTTTTGTGACGCCCAAACACAACTGCCCAACGTTCTAACTCTAACTAATGTAAAGGAACACACACTATCTGTGTCAACAGACAAAACAAAGAAATGTTTATGTCTCAAAAACAAAGGACATGAGGCCTAATTCAGTCGTGTTTACAAAGATGAAAGGTTTACTCCATTTAACTGTTGTCGTTTTTAAGGTCTGTTTGTCAGACTGCAGAGCTAAAATTGGCCTTATGTCTGAAGCTGAAAGAGATGCATGTTTTGCTTTAGCGCCCTCTGGCGGCCTCTGAGCTCATGGCACCACTGCATTGCATGGGAAGAGTGACCTGTGTTTGTGGCCTACTTTCCCTTGTGACCTCTCACTGATGGTTTGAAGTGTTCCAGGCCAAGTCGCTGTAACAGATATGCGTGAGTGCGTGGCTGTGAGGATAATTACAACGATAAGACAATCTGTGGTGAGACAAGCTTTCCCTGTACGAGCCGGTCACGGTAATGTCAGACAGATAAGAAGAGTTTATGACAACCTCTGAATTTTTTAAAAAGAAATGTTACTGGGTGATATAACTATGAAACCTATAAAACTTACACTTCATACCATTTTGCATGACTTGTCAGCCAGAGAGAAATAGTCTGATAAGTAAGACACATGATTTATGGTGTCACTAATGTCCGAAGCACAAACGATTGCATGTCAAAAATTAACAATTGTGCACACGCCTAAATATGAGCAATAGTGATGCCTTAGCAAACACAACACATGGCAGTAATTTCAAGGAAAATGAAAGGAAAACTGGAATCATTTACACTAAATCACATGGCACAGACTTCATAGTTACCTCATACTAATTAAGCTTTCTTACAATATCAGCTCACGCCACAGACAACTCCTTTCAATGCCTGTCAGTGTCTTTAGGGATGACTCAGAGTCTGTTGCTGGAGGCCAAGCTTCTTACAGCTGAGACGCAGACACATCCGTCTGGCTCCGTCACAGCACCTGTGATTGCTCAGGTGGAAATCTAAATCACACTGCCATCAGCCATCACATCAGCAGAGATCAACATCACAGTGAGACCAAGCGCTGCACCATGTCTGATGTCTAGCCAAATAGGTAAATGTGCCTTATATTCATGGAAGCAGCCAGGAACTTAAGACTGATGTATTACACTATGTATCTAGACAATATAAGATGGGAATCAGACAAATTGAACTAACTGAAGCAGGACCACTTCTACAAACACACAAACTTATACAGATACACTAGAGAGAACATTTCGTTGACATTTTGTATTAAACTGATTCTAATAACAAGGTAACTCAAACAATAAAATCATATTAAATTTACGGTAAAAATGACAGTTTATAACAGTATATTTCATTATATACCATGCACTGTAAAAAAAAAATTTTTTTGAAAAAAGGGAAAAAAAGAACATTGTAAAAATGCTACAGTAAAATCTATTAATTGGTTAACTGTAAGTTACCTTAAACTGTATATGGTTTAACATCACATTATGTAATTTTACTGTAAAAATACTGTCAAATTTATGTTTTTTTTTTTTTTCTAAATAGCTTGGTCTTTACATTACAGGTGCATCTCAATAAATTAGAATGTCGTGGAAAAGTTCATTTATTTCAGTAATTCAACTCATTTTATTGAGATGCACCTGTATATCATTATTTTATAATGATACATGTTATAAAATATATATTATATCATTATTATATATTTTCTAATATATTATATCATTATTGTACAGAAGAGGATTAGGGCCAAGCAATAATAAAAAAATGAATCCATCTCAAGATTAAAAATCATTCTAATGCAAGATTAAACACATTAAATTTCAAGAAAAACGTCGAAATAAAATGTTGAGAATTTAATTTCGAGAATAAAGTTGTTTTTTTAATGTTTATAAAAAAACTCAGTACATTTCGAGAAAAAAAGTCGAAATGGAATGTTGAGAATGAACTCATTAAATTAAGAGAAAAAACTCATTGTGTTTCGAGAAAAACCGTGTTAAATTTCGATAAAAAAGTCAAAATTATGTTGAGAATAAGCTAATTAAATTACGAGAAAAAAGTCGTGTTTCGAGAAAAAAACTCATTAAATCACGAGAATAAAGTCAAAATAATGCTGAGAATAAACTCACTGGTGAACATGAATAGGCAACAGTATTGATTAGGAGTGATTAGAGTAGCTGCAGTCAGCATTGACTAATGTAATCCTCATTAGTCCTCTCTCTCTAACTAGACTATCAGCTATGGTAATACCCCAAAATGAGCTACTAAAGAGTAGAAATGAAGAAAGGCCAGACACACAGGAATAAATCAGATGGGAACAAACCAATACAAATGCAGGTTCTAGTCGTGTTTGCATCAAGCCGACCAAGTTTGTTTGTGTGTGTGCTTTACCTGAGGATGGGAGATATTGATAGGCTGTAAAGTCATGGGCGGCGAGCGGCCGTGCCCCAGGGAGATATGCAGTCTCTGGCTGCTGCTGTGATGAAGCGTTTACATGAAGGGATCACCCTGAGGGGGCGGTATTCATTAACCAGACTTACAGACTCAGACTACTGACTTCTCGCTCTAGACTGAACCTCTCTCTCTCACACACACACTTTTACCGTTAACACACTTTCCACAACTTCTGTTTGAGTAGCTGATCTTGAACTTGGACTTTTGTTATTGAGCTCTGTTTCCACTTAGAGCTCCACAAAACCTCATTTTATTCATTTATAGACTTTATAGACCAAACCTAAACTATAGCTCTGGGGAGTCTTCAATGCAAGTGCGGTAAGAATAAAAAAAAGAGAAGCAAGATTTTTACATGTTATGAGGAAAATATGAGTTGCACTTGCTGGTGAAAAACACACTGTCAACTTGAAATGTCATTCACAACCCAGTTTACTTACATAATCTTGTGTACTTCAGAGGATATTCAGCAACACAAATTTAGCGGGAAATTGTTATCATTTGCAGTGTTGTAATTCTCATGATGTAATTAATGTCAGTAACAGTTGGGTTACAATTACCTGTAACTATTTTACTAACTTCAAAAATATCCCCAATGTATTGGTTACATTTTGCACAAATGTATTCAAGTTACAGGTTACTAAGTCAGTAGCATTATTTGTCCATCCATCCATTCATCTTACCCTCCATCCATCTGCACATCCATCCATCCATTTAACCATCTATCTACCCTGTCCATCCATCTATGCATCTGCCCGTCCATCTATCTACCCATCTATATCCATCCATCTATCTACCAAACTATCTATCCATCTCTCCATCCATTAATCTACCCATCCATCCATCTACCTATTTATCCATTTATCTACCCTGTCCATCCATCTATGCATCTGCCCGTCCATCTATCTACCCATCTATATCCATCCATCTATCTACCAAACTATCTATCCATCTCTCCATCCATTAATCTACCCATCCATCCATCTACCTATTTATCCATTTATCTACCCTGTCCATCCATCTATGCATCTGCCCGTCCATCTATCTACCCATCTATATCCATCCATCTATCTACCAAACTATCTATCCATCTCTCCATCCATTAATCTACCCATCCATCCATCTACCTATTTATCCATTTATCTACCCACCAAACCATCCATCGATTCATCTCTTCATCCATCTGGTCATCCATCCATTTTTCCATTTATCCATTTACCCATGTATCCATCCATCCATCAATCTACCCAAGTATCCATCCATCCACCCATGTATCTTTTCATCCATCCATCTACCCATGTATCTTTTTATCCATCCTTCCATCCATCCATCTACCCATGTATCTTTTCATCCATCCATCCATTTATCCATCCACCCATCCATACATACAACCATCTACCTATGTATCCATCCATCCATCAATCTACCCAAGTATCCATCCACCCATGTATCTTTTCATCCATCCATCCATCTATCCATCAATCTACCCAAGTATCCATCCACCCATGTATCTTTTCATCCATCCATCCATCTATCCATCAATCTACCCAAGTATCCATCCACCCATGTATCTTTTCATCC